TTTAGCAGTAGCATATGCCCAGGATGAATGATAAATACCTTCTGATACAGAGCTTGGGTTTACAGAATATCTTAAATTGTGCCAGGAACTGTTGTTATTGCTTAAGTCCAATACCCTGTCTCAAACAGAACATTTTAAAAAATTCTAAAGAGAACTCAATATTTTTAATCAGAGTTAGTAGGATTTTGCCCTACCAGAATACATTTTTTCCACTGTCTGAACTTTTGCCGATTACATTGTCCAGATGTAAAGTATCACATTTGAGAAGAGGATTAGACCTTAGCCATGACATAAACACGAGGGTAATTATAGCCCTGCTGAGAAAGAATTGAGAATGGTAATAAGTTCACTTGAGTAATTAGTTTGGACTAGACTTGATAGAGAATAGTCCAGAATGGCATTTAATATAAATGGTAGATTAGATGTGCTTGTCTGATTAGTCACATTTGAACTCTGTGAATTACTTAATCACTCAAAGAAATTATTTATTTGCAATATTAGATGTGCATTTATATGAGTATTATGTGGCTTTAATGGTTATTACTATTTTATCACTTCTTATTCTTTATATCAGATATGAGCCATAAATCCAGTATGAGTCTGCCAAGAGATTGGCATACTGTTTACATATGTGCTTTTCTTTCAAGTAACCAGAACTTCTCATGTCCACAATCATTGATTCTAAGAAAATGTGGGGATGGGTAGATTTAATTTGTAAATAGTTTCCCAGTTGGTTTTGATCAACTCGAGCATCCCTACCTCTTACCCCTTGTAGGATACCACTGGTGTTACATATAATATGAACATCTATACCAATGACTCTTGCAGGTGGAACAATCCAAAGTTTTAATCAAAGAAGGTGGTGTTCAGTTGCTGCTCACAATAGTTGATACCCCAGGATTTGGAGATGCAGTGGATAATAGTAATTGGTAAGACGGGTTTGTCCTCACAGCTTTCCAGTGCATTTGAGGTACCAGAGTGGTTTGACTTTTCCTGTGTAACATTTTAATACTTCATCTTAGCAAGGATCACTGAACTTTAAATGATATGACTTGGGTTCATATACCAACTTTGCCTCTTACTTAACAACTTCTTTGAACCAGTTCTCTTTGCTATAAATTGGTGATAATACCTATCATAAAATTGTTTTTAAGAAAAATTCTAAAACAAC